AATTATGCCTCATTGGGATGCCATGACTTTGGTTTTATTTTTGTCAAGATCTTAGGTTTTCCTTTGTTGCTGTTGCTATCTAGGTCTCTGCTTGAGGTGGTAGACCATTCTGGCAGAACATACCTGTATGCCACTTCCATTTTTCCTCTTTTCCCCTACCTCCAGCATAAAGCCCAGGAAAAAGAATATTTGCTCTCCACCTGCTATATCCTGAATAAGGAGGAGACCAGGTGACATGGATGCAGGGCAGGTCTTAGGATAGAGGACACTATTACCCATACCTACTTGTCCTCTGGTGCCCCCTGCAAAGCTTGGGAAATTGTGTCACACTTTTCTCTCAGCCTAACTTCTCCCATGCACCTCCCCACCCTCCATATTCTTCTCTCCCTGTTTCATGGGAAAAGTATATGGAGGCAGTGCATTCATTGGTCAGGTGGATATGAAGGATCCATTTGCAGTTGATCTCTCATTCTTAGTACTGGCAGAAAATGCTTCTGAGGGAAATGTGTGTGTGTGTGTGGGGGGCGGAGAGGGAGGCTGGGAGCCCTGTAGAAGCTGCCATTTCTCTTTTCCCCCACTCCCCTTCCCACTCTAGGAGTGAAAAAACTGTTTATGAATCGGTTGCCCCCGGTCTCTTCCTCTGTCCCTTCTGGGCCTCCTGCTCCTGTTCATTTTTCTTCTTTGCCCTTGACTTCTTTATTCTCATTTATCTTTTTCTCATCTTTTCCCTCAGAACCAGTTTCAGTGTTTATTACTATCAGGAGGGAGCATCTAACTATGTGTGTACGTATATACATACATACATATACATGAACAGCCTCATGTAGGGGACAGGAAATCTGTGACTTGGGGATATTCTTTGTTCTCTCTTATTGTATATTGTCCTCATAATGTTGTGAGTCTCCACTTTCATTTTTTATTCCCTTTTCCCCACAGCCAAAGCCACCGGGGTAAGAAAGGTATCTTGGGACCTACCTCCCTTTCCAGCCTTTTCACTCCTGATGTGGAAGCCTTGTCCCCTTGTTCATCCTCATCCAGCCTGGCCCCCCACCCTCCTCACACCGAGGCATGGCCAGGCACCTGTCCAGAACCTAGTGCCATGCTGTGAACTCATTCCCTGTCTTTCAGTGTGATTGGTGCCCCAGGGAGCCAGGTTGCTGAGGGAAGCTCATGTGGCACTCAGCCGATCCATTTTGTTGACAAAAAAAGGAGGGGAGAAGCTGGCAGAAAGCAAATGCTTTTGCTGCTGGGTGAGTGTAGCAGCTATTTATAGCACCCAAGCCTTTGCTTTTCCATTTGGCTGTGCATTTTTAGCATAGTGCTGGTCCAGGAGGGCTGTTTTCTTTCATAGCTGCAGATGTCCTTAGCAAAAGTTTCCGTCTGCCCCTGAAAAGGGTGAAAGGGTGGGCTGGGCAAGTGGGTAATAACTTCTAGAGTGGATGCAGGCAGGGTTTTTGTCCAATTATGTCACAGGACCAATTTATTGAGGTGCAACATGGGAAAGTGTGGTAGGAACAGGAAAGAGAAAGGGTAAACATCATACTCTTAAGAAATGTTTTCCCGTAATTAAGCCTCTGTTGAGTAAATTGCCTAATGAGGTGTTACTGGGTCTGAGTGATCAACACAAAAACCTTTTTTTAAATTTATTTTTAAAAGATTTGTTGTTTTTACTTAAGGATAGGATATTTTTTAAAAATATCTTTTTATTGATTTCAGGGAGGAAGGAAGAGGGATAGAAAAATGTCAGTGATGAGAAAGAATCACTGATCAGCTACCTCCTGCACACCCCCTGCTGGGGATCAAGCTCACAACCCGGGCATGTGCCCTTGTCTGGGATCAAACCTGTGACCCTGCAGTCCACAGGCTAACGCTCTATCCACGGAGCCAAGCAGCACTGGCTAGGGCAACACACCTTTTAGAAGGGACTGGGCTAATACTGACATGCTGAATTTTTCTAAGGCTTTTTTTTTTTTTTTTTTTTTTGGTCTTTTATATTGTTTTTTGTTCTGCCTTACTTAGATTATTTGTCAGTTTGGATTAGTTCTCTTGACTTCCACTCTAGTTTACTGACCAAATTTTTCCACCATTTTAAACAGAAACTCTGTACCCTATAACTCCCCTGGTAACCTGTTCTATTTCTCTGAATTTGCCTATTCTAGATATTTCATTTAAGTAGAATCATATAGCATCTGTCATTTTATGTCTAGGTTATTTCACTTGGCATATTGTTTTCAAGGTTCATTCATGTTGAAATATGGGTTAGAATTTCATTTTGTTTATGGCTGAATAATATTCCATTGTATGTATATACTGCATTAAAAAATATACATTCAGCCCTGACTGGTGTTTCTAAGTGGTTAGAGCATTGTTTCCTGTGCCAGAGGATTGTGGGTTTGATTGCCAGTCAAGAGCACATGCCTAAGGTTGCAGGTTCAGTCTCTGGCCCTGATAGGGGTGCATGTGGGAGGCAGTCAACCAACATTTCTCTCTTTCTCCCCCATCTCTTTCCTTCTCCCTCACTTCCTCCTTTCCACTCTCTCTAAAATCAGTGGAAAAATGTCCTTGGGAGAGGAATAACAACAACACAAAAATACATTTATCTGTTGATGAATACTTGGATTATTTCCACCTTTTTTAAATTTGTTTATTTTGTGACTGGAGCTGTCTAAGGAGAGTTGAGGATTCAGGGAACTCTGGGGTTGTAACTCAGAGGACAGCCACCCTGGTTTCCTATGCTGAGTCATTCCTTCACTCTGCGGAAGATAACTCTTACCTTTTAGCTATTGTGAGTAATGCTGTTAACATTCACATGGAAGTATCTGTTTGAATCACTGTTTTCATATCTTTTGGGTAGAATATGGGTGGAATTGCTGGATCATATGGTAATTCTATGCTTAGATTTTTGGGAAACTGCCAAATTGTGTCCCATAGCAGCTGTACCATTTTGTATTCCTACCAACAATGTATGAGAGTTTCACTTTCTCTACATCCTAGTTAACATAGATTGCTTTCTCTCTTTTTTTTTATTATTGTTGTTTAATTGTAGTGGATTTAAAGTGCTATCCAATTGTGGCTTTGGTTTGTATTTCCTCAGTGATTAATGATGTTGATAATCTTTTCATATCTTTGTTGGCATTTGTGTATCTTTTTTGGAGAAGATCCTTTGCCCATTTTAATTTGAGTTGCTTGTCTTTTCTTTTCTTTCTTTCTTTTTTTTTTTTTTTTGAGCTGTTCATATATTCTGGGTATTAAACTTTGATTAGATATGTGATTTGCAAATATTTTCTCTCATTTTGTGGGTTGTATTTTCATTCTCTTGATATTGTCCTTTGACATACAAAAGTATTTTAATTTTGATGGAGTTTAATTTATTTTTTTCTTTTATCACCTATGCTTTTGGTATAATATTTAAGAAACTATTGCCAAACCTAAGGTTATTAAGATTTTCTCTATGTTTTCTTTTTAAATTTAGGTCTTTGACCATTTTGAGTTACTTTTTAAAGATTTTTAAAATTGATTTTTAGAGAAAGAGAGAGAGACATACATTGATGTGAGAGCAGAACATTGATTAACTGTCTCCTGTACATCTCCAACTAGGGATTGAGCCTGGTATTGAGCCTACAACCCAGGCATGTGCCTGACCAGGAATTGAACCAGTCCCTTTTGGTACATGGGATGATTCCCAACCAACTGGGCCACAGGGCCATTAACACATTTTGAGTTACTTTTTTGTATGTGGTATAAAGGAATGGTCTACTTCTCTCTCTCTCTTTTTTTTTTTAGATTTTTAAAATTGACTTTTAGAGAGGGAAGAAAGGAGAGGGAGGGAGGTAGAGAAACAAGTATGTGAGAGCCATATCAATTGGCTACCTCCTGTATGCTCCATACCAGGGATCAAGCCTATAACCTGGCATGTACCCTGATTGAGAATCAAACCAGCAACCTTTCAGTGCATGGAACAATGCCCATCCACTTGAGCCACACAGACCAGGACTATCCACGTCATTCTTTTGCATGTGGATATCCAATTGTCCCAGGATAGTTTGTTGAAGAGTCTGTTCTTTCTATATTGAATGTTCTTGGAAACCTTGGTGAAAATAATTGACCATATATGTGGTTTTTTTTGGCTCTGAATTGTATTCCATTGGTTCATATATCTGTCTTCATGTAGTACCATACTGTTTTCATTACTATAGCTTTGTAGTAAGTTTTGAAATCAGGAGGTGTGAGTCCTTCGACTTTGTTTTTTTTCAAGATTTAGTTGGTGGTTGTGAAATTCCACATATATTTTATGATAGGTTTCTTCACTCTGTAAAAAAAAAAAAATCATTGGAATTTTGCATTGAATCTGCATATTGTTTTGGTAGTATTGTAACCTTAACTCTCCAATCCATGAACATGGAATATCTTTTCATTTTTGTGTCATTTTAATTTTAACAGCTAGAAGGGCCTATACTTTTGTTTGGCTGTTTGAAAAGTGATGTGAAAGGCTTTGTAGCTTGAGAATATTGAACTATGTTGGTTTAGGGATGCTGATGACATCTGTCTTCAGGTATAACTGCAGGTATGGTTTATAGGCACTTGTTGTAAAGGCTTATGCAGATTTGGGCCCATGTCTGTCCACATACTAATCAAGGGTTAGTTTCCTTTTTTCTTACCATAGCCAGTACCACCCAGTTCAACCTGATAAGAAGTTGATAATTATAGCTCATGTAAGAGTTCTGGTGGCTCAGTTCCAACAAAGACATGTCTCCCCTTGGGTGGCTGGACTCCTTATTGGAGATGGAGGCTTCATTCACATGATCTATTCCTGTGGGAGACCTATAAAACCTCTATGTGGGAAATGTCTCACATTCATTGAACAAGTGACACCATGGGAATCACAGTGCTGGGGGATCAGGCAGTAGGGAAGTGGAACCAGTTTTCTATTGACCTTCTGTTTTCTGTGTTTATATTCATCAGGTCTCCTTATGCTTCTTCAGGGCCTGCCCCTATTTAGGATGGCTCCTCGGGGCATGCTGCTTGGACTATTGATAACCACCTGCTTCACCTTCTGTTTCAGTCATCAGAACCAAGTAAGTACCTTATCATAAGAGGGATCCCTTTTGGGTCCAAAAGAGTCTCTATGCCACCAGAGCTGCTGTGGAAGTGGGATGAACTTTTATGTTTCTTATATGAATGTGGCCAGTGATGAGTCATGGAATCTGTGTATATCTTTCCCTCTACCTCTGTTTAAAGTTCATGATGTAGTTTCCCTTTGGGAAATGTATGGTGGTGATGATAATAATAACCTATAATAATAAAAGCATAATATGCTAATTAGACCAGATGTCCTTCTGGAAGACCATTTGGATGAAGCTTTGGTGGTGGAAGCCAAGGCAGAGGTGGCCGAGGTAGAGGTGGCTGCAGTGGTGGTGGGGGCTGAGGCAGCCACTTTGGCAGTGGAGGCCAAGCCCCTTGCATGAGTTTCATGCAGTGGGCCTCAAGTTTTAATAATAAGCTTCTCATGTACTAGGCATTGTAATTCATTAAGTGCTTTATGTCTATTCTTATTTCCCTTCCACCCCCCAATAATACTATGAAATAGACAACTACAATTATTATCCTCATTTTGAGAAAGAGGAGTTTAAGATTCAGAGATTTTAAATAATTTGGTCAAAATCTACAACCAGTTTGTAACAGAGTTGGGAAGGTCAAGATTATCTCCAAAGTTGGCTGATTGTATGGTGAGCACCATGTAAGAATGGTTCTTCCTGTACTTCTCTCTTCCTGCGCTTTCTCAAGTCTGTCTGTAACTCTGTATCCTCTTTCCTAGCCTCTCTTTATTAATATAGACCCAGTTGCTTAGGGTTCCTGTTATTGCCACAGGCAGGAGCAAAATGCCCAAGAAAGTCCTGAGCTTGAGCAGGCTTCTGGCTCTATTTCTCTTGGCCTGCCTCAATAACAGCATGCCCATGACTATTTTCCAGTGTCCTCTCTTTTCTCTCCCTTGGGAAGTCTTGATTGTCAGTTTTGACAACTTCACCTACTGCTGGCCACCTTTCCTAACCCCAGGGGCTCCCACTAAATGGTGGATAAAGTGCAGAAAGCTTTGGAGCAGGAGGACTTGAAGTGCAAATGACAAATGAGATGAATTTAATAATAATCCAGCTCTGCTGAAGTTCACCTCTGACTTGTGGCAAGCTTCCACCTTCTCTCTGAAGTAATTTGTTTTCTCTCTGCATTTCTCCCCACTTAGAGGAGCAGGAGAAAACATACAGTTAGGAGTCTTGAATCCTTTTGAACTTTTAATGTCCTCTGACTAATCTTGTTGATACTGGGGTTTTGGTCTCCAAGAAAAATGAGAATGAGATCCCATTGGCCCCTGATGATGGGACTGGCCACAGCCTGAGGGTTGGAGACCTGACCCAGAAAGCACCCAAGTGTCTCAGGAGATCAGGGCTATTCCCCCTACCCCAACCTGCATCTTACAAGGATCCAGGTGCTCCCATTGTGAACTTTAGCAGATGTACAATTAACAAAAGCATGCTAATGAATTTACTTAAGGACTGTGTGTCAGTAAGTCTCTTTTGGATAAGAGTCCAACCAAATAGATAAGCTTTCAGAGCCATAATTATTCTGGCCCATATATATTAGTTCTATAGAGTCTAGTTTCAGAAAAATGTTAATACTGGCTTTCATCACCAGAAGCTGCTTGTATCCTTATGTCTCTTCCTAAGCTATATCAATTTGTCATCATCTTTCATCATGTACTAAGCACAAGTAGGAGTTGAAGCATCTTTTCTCTCATACCATAAAAATTGCTACCCTGATGGGGGATTTAAAATCCAAATTATATAGCTAGCTACCTTCACAACAGTGAAAATGGTTAGTGGGGGAAGTGGGAATGGTCATGATCCACTCTTTCAGAGTTCAGACAAGTGCTCCTGGAGACCTGGAATTGTCCTTTCTGAGGGCATTTGTGAAGGTTAATGGCCACCTAGGAAAAGTTGGCTGTGTGTATCAGGGCATTATCTGGAGTCAGCCTCCCTTCCTGGCTCTTGCTGTGGCACTAAGGTTCCACATCTTAAGTCTGTGTGGATGCTGAAATAATTTGATTGCATGTATCTGAATAAGAGGCACCTTCAAAAAGGTGGTGAGTAATGAGGGAGGTAGAGGAACCCAGGGGAAGGATCACAGACCTTGGTAACATCCTTTTGGCACTGACCATTTCTGAGCTTTATTTCCTTATCTAATAAAACAGAGTTGGTATGTTCCTCGTAAGATTTAAGTGTAGATCAAATGTGATTATATATAAAGTACCTAACATTTGGATTTGGCACAGTCAGGTCAATGGATGGTCAGTAAATGTCAACTATTATTTTTAGTAAGGGGGTTTAATTTAGTGCTCTGTCAGACACACTCCTGTCCCAAAATCTTGCCCTGGCAGTCTGTTTCTAAACACAGCATCTATCAACCTACCATTAGAAATTCGTTCATTCTTTTGGATCTTGAAGTCTTTGATATTTAAGAATCTCTTATTCAGATACAAGCGCAAGGAAGTGTGACATAGTAAGCTGTTGTCAGCTAACACCTTAGCTGGGATTTCTTGCAGTCAGTTGAGAAGAAATTGGTATTTGGAGTGATGGTGGCAGGAAGAAGAGATGGCTGAGGATTCGGCATGGAAGGGAGCCCTAAGAAGCCAGCTGAGAGGGTACCAGCACATGCGATTTACTTCAGAGCTGACCAAGGGCTGTCTGGCTGTTCTCACCTCTTGGTCTTTCTCTTCTGTTCAAGACACTGCCCAGGCAGAGAGAAGCTAATCTTGCTTGTTCTTTCTTTGCAAGTGTGGTTTCTCACTTGGTCCATGAAAACCCTCCCTTGGCAAGGAGGCTATGCTGAGAGACATGCTAAGTTAATCTTATTGCCCTCACTTCATTTCCTCAGTATCCAGGGCATAACCATTGGGACACATGACATAGAAGTGAGTCAGAAATTATGCCTGGGCTTTGGAGCCCGGCAGTCCTGATCTTAAATCTCTGCTCTGTTTTACCCAGCCATGTGATTTTGCACAGGCCCCATGTCCATACTCATCTGTAAAATGGGTATAAATGTATGTGCATCACAGATGAAACTTGGACGAGTTGTGAGGCACAGAGGCACTTCAGTTCAATGCTGGGCATATGGTAAGGGCTTAATAAATGGTAGCTGCTATTATCATTACAAGCTCATCCCTATGATGTTGCTTTTCCTCAAAACTTTTTATGCAATTTCTTTCTTGAACTGACTAACTTATTGTATATTCATATGACTGAACCTCTGACAGTGCTTGCCAGATGTGATTTGAGCAAACAGTCCAAAGTTACTCTGAGCCAGATTTGGTGATCAGACAGAGGAGCATAAGTTTTGTATTACCCCCACTAAAACCAGGAATGCTGTAAAATAATGATAGACTCTGTGTGTGTGTGTGTGTGTGTGTGTGTGTGTGTGTACGTGTGTGTACATGTAGCTATGGCTTAACATCTGGTTCAGAAGTGATAGCAAGAGAAAATAGAAAAAACATTTTGAGCAGTGACAGGATTGTTGCACAAGTATTAGGAACAATTAGGAACAGATTTGAAGCATGTGGCTCAGTGTTTCATGATTCTCCTAACCTTCCTTCTTGAACCTACTCTGATAATCTTATGTTAAAAATCTAGAAAAAAAAGCTCTGGATACTTAATAGACAAGGTGGTCTTTTTTTGTGTGAATGTGTGGCTAGTACCTGGCTTCCAGCAGACTCTGCTAATTTGGGCTTGTCTTAGTCCAAGGCATCCAAAAGACATACCTGCCTGTGAGAGGGGGAGGAAGGCGTTCCTTCATTTGTTCCATGATTACAAACTAGGCATGGAGTGGTGAAAGAGGCTGACAGAGTCTGTCCTCAGAAACTCAGCTGTTGGAAGCTTGATGTCCATGCCCTCAGAATGCAGGGCGCCACATGCTAGTTTTTCTGCTCTTTAGTATGACAAGCACATTTCTTTCCTGTTCCTAATTTTCTTTTGAGCTCAGATTTGTGCAAACTTTAGGTTGAAGGGGTAGGTGGGGTTTGTGGAGCCAGGCCGCAACCCAAATCTGACCTGCCTAACTGATGCCATATGGTGTAGTCTCTGTTGGACATCATAGCACAGACTCATCTAACCTGGAAACTGTGACTGCCTTTATAAGTAATAATAACAGCTACTGTGTACGCAGGGCTAATGGTTTAAAAGGTAGTACTTTATTTGATGTACGAGCTAGATGTTATTATCTCCACATCACATATGATGCTTAGAAAGTTAAGTAACTTTCCTGGTGTCACAAGAAACTGGGATTTGAATTTTAGGTGATCTGATGCAGAGCTTGAGATCTTAACTGTTATGCTATAGTGAGTGCCTCTCATTACTTATGACATATTTTAAAAGCCTCTTCTTGCCCAAGATAGTTTCCTTACCAGTTCTCAACAAGATTTGAAATCCTGCCATCTGAATGTCATGCCTTTATTTCTTGTTAAAAATATGAAATCCTTAGGCTTTACATTATTATCATCAACACCTTAACAACTTAACCTTTCCTCTGACATCTAGTTAAAAATGGGAGCTGAGAGACCCAGGCAGGTGGGAATGCATATCTGGAGCTTGAGCACTGCTTGAAAGAGATGCATTGTTACCTCCCAGTTCAGGGTTGGAATTGTTGGAAACAAAAATGAAATGTATGTAAAGTAACTAGCACAGATTTGGGTTCATAAGAGGAATTTATGAGATATACTTATTATTAGTGGAAAATTGGGATGTGTAGGAAAAGTGATCATGGGGCAGGTGGGAGGGCTGAAATAACATCCCTGTGTGCTAGTATGGGTTCCTCCTTGTCCTCCCAAATGTAATTTCCCAGAGCTCTGCAACCCTCTGGTTCCAATTTCCTGAGGCCTTACTGCTTTTATGCAAGAACAGGTTTAAAAATGGGACAAGAAGGCTGGGAAGGAACAAAATGAAAAATACTTTGTATTTATCTTGCATCTTTGTCTCCTCAGCTCAAAGTACTCCATTGACACCATCTCATTAATTCTCCATGCTCTCTGTGGGGTGGAAGGAAATAGGTTTTATGAAGAGGTTTCCAACCGGGGCTTCTTCCTTCTTTAGCCCAATTGGACTACCAGCTTCTCACTTGTACCCCTTACATATGGGTTGGAATGTCCCCAGTGATCATTTATGCCCCTTAAGCATCCTATGGAATTGCCAGGTCCTTTCTGTGCCATGCTAGGCTGCTTAGGAATCAATTGGGCCTCAGCTTTTGTACATCTGGGGTGGCCATTTGAGGCCTTATCTCCAGTTCATGTGTGTGTGTTTTTTTCCTTTTTATAAACATATATATTTAAATTATAAGAAATATATATATATATACATATATATATATATATATATATATATATATATATATATATTTCAGAGAAGAAAGGAGAGGGAGAATGAGATAGAAACATCAATAATGAGAGAGAATCATCAATCGGCTGCTTCCTGCACATCCCATACTGGGGATCGAGCATGTGCCCTTGACCGGAATCAAACCCTGGACCCTTCAGTCCACAGGCCGGCACTCCATCCATTGAGCCAAATCAGCCAGGGCATAGATATGAATTTTAAACATCAAACAGTGTATAGTAGCATATCAAGTAAAAAGTAAAAGGCTCTTATTGTCTCTTTTCCCCCAACTTCTGTTCCCCTGGAGATGTTTTGGAACTTGTGGACTTTTTCTATATGCATGTACAAAAATGCTATATACACACAACACATACTGTGTTCATTTAACTGTATTGTCTCACTTATATTGGTTCTGCGACTAACCTCATGAAAGGTCCAAACATGGCTGGGAGGGGGGGAGGAGCATAGAGGGAGAGGGTACTACCCCAAGCCATTTTCTTTCTGCTTGCCTAGTGCTTAGCTGTATTTTTTTAAATTTTTTATTGTGCTCTGTGTTTTTTTTTCTCTGAAGGAGTTTGCGCTGATCAATTCAGAGAAGAGTACCACCAAAGAAACAGAGAGAAAGGAAACCACAGCAGAGAAGGAGCTGGACCCTGAAGTCCTGGAGGTGTTTCACCCGAGCCAAGAGTGGCAGGACCTTCCGCCAGGTATCAAGCCCGCTCTGCCCCCATGAAACACTCTATCGATAAATTCAAATTGTATATGTTCTTTGTCCCCATAGCGCTTCTTTGAAGGAGCAGCCATTCTTTGGCCCGCTGGAGGGGAATAGTGTGGTCCATCCCAGTGTGGCTGCTGCTGCAGGCCTCAGGGACCTTCATTTTCCAGCAGAACAGAGATTTCAGCCTCTTAAGTGCCCTGGAAGGAAGGCAGGTGGTGGGTGGCCAAGCTTTCTGAGCAAGTGATTGAAAATGTTCTTTCCTTGCACTTCTGAAGCACAGGAGAGGCAGTGACATGTGCCTTGCTCTGCAAATGCTATTTTGGGCTCTTCTGCTCAGCTCAGTGCTGCTGAAATATTGTTCACAGGAGAGTCCTGAGCATTGGTGCAGGGCAGGAGTGTTCTTTTGCAAAAGGAACCTGTGCCAAGAACAGGGGCTGATCCTGGCCTGGTTTTTAAATGGGGCATCCTCAGAAAGAACAACTTTCTAACCCTTTTTTGAGCCCAACTCAGGGTTTAAAATAATAATGAAAGCCCTGGATGGTGTGGCTCAGTTGGTTGGATCTTATCGTGTACAATGAAATGTCATAATTTTGATTCCCTATCAGGGCACATACCTAGTTTGTAGGTTTTTTTTTTTTTTAAATAAATTTTTATTCATATTATTACAAATGTTCCCCCCCGCCTCCATTGCTCTCCTCCACCAGGTTCCCACCCCACCCTCTGCCCTTTTCCCACTCCCCATTGTCCTCATCCATAGGTGCACAGTTTATGTTCAGTCTCTTCCCACATTCCCCTCGCCCCTTTTCCCCAAGAATCGTCAGTTCACTCCCCTTCCATACCTCTGATTCTATTATATTCAACAGTTAATATTGTTCATCAGATTTTTTTTAATTCCCTTGGTGTTTAGATTCACTTGTTGATAGTTACGTATTTGTTGTTCATAATTTTTATCTTTATTTACTTTCTCTTCTGAAAGAACCCCCTTCAGCAATTCATATAATTCTGGTTTGGTGTTGATGAACTCCTTTATCTTTTTTTTATTAGTGAAGCTCTTTATCTGACCTTCAATTCTGAATGATAGCTTTGCTGGATAGATTATCTTTGGCTGTAGGTTCTTACTACTCATCACCTTGAATATTTCTTGCCATTCCCATCTGGCCTGCATAGTTTCTGTTGAGAAATCAGTTGACAATCGTATAGGTGCTCCTTTATAGGTAACTACCTTCTTTGCTCTTGCTGCTTTTAATATTCTCTCTTTGTCTTTTGCTTTTGGAATTTTAATTATGATTTGTCTTGGTGTGGTCCTCTTTGGATTCCTTTTGTTAGGAGTTCTGTGTGCTTCCTGGACTTGTAAGTCTAATTCTTTCACCAGGTGGGGAAAGTTTTCTGTCACTATTTCTTTCAATATGTTTTTGATATCTTGCTCTCTCTTATCTCCTGGGACCCCCATAATTCTGATGTTGGTTTGCTTGAAGTGGTCCCAGAGGTTTCTTACATTATCTTCAATTTCCTGGATTCTCTTGCCTTCTAGCTTCTGTGGAGGAGTGTCCTCTGGCTCTTTATGTTCCAAATCTTTGACTTGATTCTTGCGATCTTCCATTCTGTTTTTAGGACTTTGTATAATATTTTTTATTTCAGACAATGTATTCTTTATTTCTTGTTGATCCCTTATCATTTCTTGTTGATTCCTTATTAATTCTAGTTGATCTCTTTTCATATTCTCATAGTTCTTATCGATCTTTTCTAGGAAATTCTTGAAAAACCTTATAAGCGTAGATTTGAACTCTATATCCAGTCACTTTTTGTCCTCCATTTCTTTCGTTTGTGATCTATTTCGTTGTCGCATTTCGCAGCTACAGATGAGGCGGGGTTTCAGGGTGGAGCCTATAGCCTTGGCTTCCATCAGCCCCGCCCTATGCGGGTCCTTCAGTACTTGTTGCAAGCGCCTCTGAGAGAAAGGTGCCCTTGATTTTCGCCTGCTACCAAACAGTCTAGGCTTTCCCCCAATGAGCCCAGTATTGGGGTTCAGTTCAGTTGGAAGTGGAGTTGGAGGTGGTGTTCAGAGCAGTCTGGAGACCCTGTCTCCTTCCCGCCAGGGCAGTTCCGCGGCACAGCCAACCGTCCCTTCTTTGCGCGCAATGTGCGCGCCTCCGGGACCCCCTTTCGCCGCTCCCCCGGGGTTCCGCCTTACAGCCCCGCTCCCTATGGCTAAGCCTGGGTCCCCGGGGTCTGGCCTAGAACTGGGGTTCAGAGCAGTTGAAACTGGGGCCCAACACAGTCTGAGTTTTTATCTCCTTCCCGCTAGGGAACGCCAGCCAGGCAATCAGCCGCCCCTCCTCTCCGGCTCTGTCCTCTCCGCGCGCGCCGCGTGTCTCCGTACCTCAGGCTTTTACAGCTCCTCCGCTCTTCCTTCTGGTTTTCTCCTTGCTTCTCATTGTAGAATTTCCAGTCAGTCGACTTTCCTGTAGTTCTGGGTAATGTCCATTTTATATTTTAGTTGTATTTTATTGAAATTGTTGTGTGCGGCTGTGGCTAGGTGTTTACCTGGGCAGCCATCTTGGATTCTCCTAGTTTGTAGGTTTGATCCCAGCCCTGGTCAGGGCTTATGTGGAAGGCAGCCAATCAATGTTTCTGTCTAAAAGTCAATGAAAATGTCCTCAGGTGAGGATTAAAAAAAAGAAAAAAGAATAATAATGATGAAAGTAGCCAGCAATTGTGTTTATAATATTCAGGTACTGTGTTAGATGCTTCATGTGTATAAACTTGTTCAATCTTCACATAATAGGACCTATTATTATCTTTATTTTCCTATAAAAGCATTGAGGCTCAGAAAGGTTAATAATTTGACCTATGTTATTCAGCTAACTTGTCCTATGTCATTGATCCTATAGCCTAGACCTATCTTCTTCCCACTTGTTTGCATTCTTCACTGTGGCAAGGTAGATGGTAAGCCCTGGCAGCTGCCACAGTATAGTTGCATCAGTTCCTTGCCGATATTCATCACCATATCCTCCTTGCCTCCATTGCTGCTGTGCTGGCAAGGATAGCATTTGCTGTGCCAGCCAACTTTCTGGTGATAATATCACTCCTGCTGGGCTTGCATAGGGGTAGGTGTTGCCACAGAAGAGTGATGAAGCACCAAGAAAGCCAAGTAGGAACTAATGGTGTTAGTAGAGGAAATTTCAGGAACAGAGTTACTGGGTTCAGCAGACCTAATCTTTGCTTGCCTTCACCTAGCTTCCTTGAGAACTGAGCCCCTTGGTCCTTGAAGACTAAAACTAGAGGAGTTTTCAGAGCTAGGGAGTAGAAGATGTGGGCTGTATCTACTCGTTTTATGTGGTTAAAAGTGCTTGTACCACTCTAACTAGGCAAGTGTTTGGAGCTGATGGAGATCAATATCCTGTGGCTCCCACTCCTGCCCTCTCTAATTTTGTGGCACCCTTCAAGGCCCTTGACTACATTGCAGAACAAGCCTGAAAGTTCTAACCCAGAGCCCTTGCCCAGCCTTCTGGCCAGTGATGCTACTGTTAATGGCTAAACAAAGAGCCCCCTCTGTAGCCTTGGGGATGGAGAACCAGAGCATGTATGACAAGGGCAGCTGAGGGCTCTGAGTGCTTCCTGGAGAATTAGAGTGGAGCATTGATTTTTACATCTAACTTGATACCCATTGACGACTCTCTTTGTTTTCTAGTTTCTCAAGAGCCCTTCATAAATTCTGCCCCAAATTCCCTAGAAGCTGTCTTAAAGGCTGGTGTGTTTTGTTGAACATAGACACTTAGGAACTACAACTCAGGGGACAAAGCAACTCTGGTTTCAGTAGTGTCTGCCCAATCTTAAGAGTGTTATTCTGAGTGTGGTGCTGGAAAGTCTGACCAATGGAGATAGATAAATTCTCTTAGGCTCTGATATAGGATTGAGGTGTTCTGTGTGTATATTGAGAAGGTTTTGCAGTTATGTCTGTTGGTAGGAAATTTACTTAGTGATCTGTGTGGATAGCTAGCATTTGCCTTCAATCAGAGTATAATATTTAATTCACCACATTCTGAATGCTGCCTGGAAGCTTCCAACACAGCTACCTAAATGTTAAAGGAATATAATCAGTCCTGGAAACTTGTTTAATGTGTGAATAATGGGGAGATAGCATAATTTAGTAGTTAAGAGGACTGACTTTAGATTCATCTTGTTCTGGCTTCAAATCTTTTTGCCCTTTAGTTTCCCCATTGATGACATCGGGGAAATGTCCTGCCATATCTGCTGCAAAGGTGGTTGTGAGGGTTCTTGACATGAAGACATCACTCAGTCCATAGCAGTTCTTATTTTATTTTTTTGAAGTGCTGATTTTTAAAAGAATATATTTTATTGATTTTGTACAGAGAGGAAGGGAAAGAGAGAGTTAGAAACATCGATTAGAGAGAGTCATCGATCAGCTGCCTCTTGCACACCCCCCACTGGGGATATGCCCGCAACCAAGGTACATGCCCTTGACCGGAATCAAACCCAGGACCTTTCAGTCCCCAAGCCGACGCTCTATCCATTGAGCCAAACTGGTTTCGGCTGAAGTGATGATTTTTTAAAAACTTTTCACTGTGCTGTATTTTAAAAAGATCTTTATTGTTCAGATTATTACAGATGTCTCCCCACCTCATAGCTCCTCTTCACCTGGTTCCCACCCCATCCAAAGCCCTCGCCATCCCACTGTTCACATCCATAAGTACTGCATATATGCATAGAAGATCTTTGTGCAATCTCTTCCCGCACTACTCCCAGAATTGTCAGTCTGCTCCATTTCCAGCCCTTGATTCTATTATATTCACCATTTTATTCTGTTCATCAGACTTTTTACTCATTTGATTTTTAGATTCACTTGTTGATAGATATGTATTTATTGTCACTTTGTTGTTCATAATTTTTATCTTTACCTTTTTCTTCTTCCTCTTCTTAAAGAATACGCTTCAGCATTTCATACAATGCTGAAAGGTTTGGTTTGAT